ATTGTACCTATATATACATACAGTTTGTAAACATATTGTCCTTTGTAATGTATTCTTGAATTTATTGTTGCGCACTTTTGCTCGTTATTTACTATTCGTGGAAGAGATATACAACTGTTACTGGGCAATCAGTTGAGGGGTAATGTTATTTCCGGGGCCCCTCAATTTGATAGGTGTGTTTGATAGATCTTTCACTGATACTACGTTTACACGAGCGTTATTTCTGTAGTAACTTACGATAATTCCTTCGCGTAAACGGGATTTTCCGTCGCGTAAACGGGATTTTGTAGTAACTTACGATAATTTACTCCGCGTAAACGAGTGATATATCGTAAGTTACTACAGAAGTAACGCTCGCGTAAACGTAGTATGAGAAAAAGAATGCCGCAAATCACGAGATATCGATTTTTAAATGTAACAATAGCAATATTGTTGTACGGTATTACATGGGTTTGCAATTTACCACGCGTGGAAAGTTCACGCATGTACTTTGCAAGGCACGACTATGTGTCTAGTTTAACAGTAGCGGAGCCCTTCACAGGCGGAACCTACCGCTTCCACGCATACATTTTCCACGCGAAACGAGGTGCCACATGGGTTCGTGGCGTGCTTTACGAGCTCGTTTAAGTAGAAATGGTATATAAGTTAGTCGATTATCTGTGTGAATATTTGTAGCGATATACGATAAAAAGAATTGGAGGAGAGCCATTTTATGCGCTACGATGCATAGTTTTCGAGATATCGATTTTTAAATGTAATAATAGCAATCTCATTGTACAGTTGTTTGGTGGAACTTAGCGTTACCCGGAATGTGCCGCGTGGAGGCGTTCACCGTACATTCCAACACATAGGACAAGGAAAAGACAAATACAGGACAGAACTAAGATTAAGACAGACATATAAGACGTGGACATTAAATTTTTGGACATTTTTTAGTTTAAAAATTTTTTTGGGTTTTTGGTTTTGTTTGTCAATATTTACACTATTTATAAATCTACATTGTACATGTAGATTTTTTTCTAAGGTAGGAGGGGGGGCAGGTGTTAGAGGTGTTGCGTAGAAGTCTCTCTCACTGCTAATTCTGTGTATATTATTATACTATTACTACGTTTACGCGAGCGTTATTTCTGTAGTAACTTACGATAATTCACTCGTTTACGCGGAGTAAATTATCGTAAGTTACTACAAAATCCTGTTTACGCGAAGGAATTATCGTAAATTAATACAGAAGTAACGCTCGCGTAAACGTAGTGTATGTGATAGATTATATAAATTGATATCTCGAAAACTATACATCATCGTAGCGCATTATGGTTTGCGGCATTCTTTTTCTCAGCGAAAGATCTATCAAATACACCTATCAAATTGAGGGGCCCTGGATCGAGAGAAATAACATTCTTCCCGTCACTTAAGTTAATTTAAGAAAACTACTACTAATTGCGAATCAGATACGAAAAAAACTTTTTTGAATAAGCTTGTGCCACGTGTGGTCGCAATCACACCTAATTGCAATCTCAACTGATTGCCCATGTAACAGTTGTATATATCTCTTCCACGAATAGCAAATGACGAGCAAAAAAGCACAAAAGTAACCAATTCACGAATACATCACAAAAAACGATGTTTACAAATAGCATTATTCTGTATGTACAATTTCGCTAAATAAGGCAAGTGCCCGGGAACTTATTTCCGATAGCAGTGTATAATATTATGAATAAGAAATCCTTATTTTTTTATACATATTATATAGGAAATGACAGCGAATGATATGTTAATTATACCAAATTCCCTCATTACTATCGTATTTTTGTGACAAAGCCCTCGTGGTCGGTATATAAGTATTATTGCTGCGCGATAAGACGTGCCTATGAAAGAATACGATATTTATGTCGAAAGTTGCACGGTCCGGAGACGACGCGAAGCGCGAGAGTGGATAGAGATTAATTTCAACGCTAATTTAGCGGTAGATAGCAAATGCTCCGGCTGAAGTGTCCGTTCCGGGTAAGCTGCGCCTAGAGCCTAAAGCCGCAAATAAAACTCGCGCTTCGCGTAGTTTTACCTCGTTTTCTTCCTCTCCTTCTGTCAGCATCCTTCTCGCCTCGGTGCAAAAAACGCTGGCCGACGACGCGACGTAACAAAATTTCCGGCATAATTATGCCATTTCCGCGACGATTCGGCGCGCGTTAGTGCCAGGTGCCTCCGATTGCACGCGACAATTCAGAAAAGTGAAATAATCAATAAATGCGAGAATTTTATTTTTCACACAATTTTATTTCCCAAAATTGTGTGGACAAAGAGGAATGTTTTGTTTATAATATATACGAATAGTGAAATATTTCGAAAATCTTCATCCAATTATTTCTGAAAGTATAATCTGAGAAATTTTAGATATTTTTCAGAATTTTTCATAAGTCCCAATTCTTAAGCCTCGTATCCACGATACTAGAAATCGCTCCGAGATCTCGGACAGAGAAAAAATTGACCAATCACATTTAAACGTAATTCGGCGATTAACCAATGCGATTGGTTAACCCTAGACAGACTCACTGGGGTATACGGGACCCCACGCGAAATTCAAATTGAGCCCCTGCCTTAGGAAGGTTAGTTTTCATACCGAGACCCTAACCATAATTCAGTTTAGTCATCCGGCAATCGACTTCTGTGATTCAGCGAGTGCGTTAGATCCGTGCAGCAGCTGTGACCGAAAAAGAAAATCGTTTGGCGTATCGTACACCCCAGTGAGTCATTTACGCTCAACATTTACCACAGTAAGTATATTTCAGATTTTTTGTGAAAATCGGTAACGAAAAATTATACACTTTATAGCACTCCCCGGAAAATTTTACCCCTGTTCCATATATAATTCTTTAAGATTCGGTCAATTATTTCATTTTTGCTGTTCTTGCACAGCAACTGATTAAAACTTTGTAAAGTTTTTGTGGAGTTAATTTTACTGTTTCCATATACTTTTATAACTTTTGACTACCTTTCAAATAAATAATAATCGACAGAATCTGTTTTACTTTCTATTTCTTGCGATTTTTCCCATCCGACAGTTTTTCGTCATTTCCTCTACTTCAGATGTTCAAAGAAATATGTTTTTTTTAAGAAACGAAAAAATCGCTTACATGCCCTTGAAGGTTGTCTATTCGTCTTTCAAAATCCGTTGGAATTTTTAAAATCGGTAAATTTTATGAAAAACTACAGTATTTTTTTATTAAAAAAGTCATTTTAGCCAAATTTTTTATTCTTTGTTTTGTTTTTCGAAATTTTTTTATTGTTTCTTTTTTACTACCGCAAATTGATGACTACTATCGTCTTCCCTATTAAACAACAAACAAAATTATCTATTACAAAGTTTTCTAAGAACATTCTGGAAATATTATACACGCGGTACAAGTTTGGGGTTATTTAACACCCCAGCGAGTCATTCACGTATGAGAAAAATAAAGTGAGTCTGTCTAGAGTTAATTCTTTCTCCGTACAAGATCTCGTAGCGATTTCTAGCATCGTGGACGTAAGGCTTTTTTCAAAATTTCTGAGAAAATATGAAAAATTATTTCATCAGGGGGAACAGCTATATAATTTAAGAGCACACCACTTGCATTATGTGATATGTGCAGTTATAAAATCCTTTTGCTGAAAATTGACAGAGCAAGTAGCGTCCAATTTTCCTGGTTCACTTTTTTCTAGCAATTTCACGGCCACGTAGCACCGACGCGGCCACGCTGTGAGTACCTATGACGTGGCATCGACGCTGTTTAATGGCTTCTGCCCAAACGCTTGCCGCGCGGCAAGAAGCGACGCGGTAGCCAATCACCGTGTCGCTTTTCCGTAAGAACCAAAAGTTTATTGGCTACCGCGTCGCTTCTTGCCGCGCGACAAGCGTTTCCGCGTCCTGTGGGCAGGAGCCATAAGTATCTACAAATCACTTTTGATTCACCACCAGGACCGCCGCCATTTTCTCTGATACAATCGAAAATTTCATGCGACGCAAGCCGTATGTGCTATTTCAATAAGCCTATTCTTTTTGGCCAAACTTCTTGCACGGTTCATCTTTCCCCTTTTTTGTTTCACGTTGGAGAGAAAGAGAAAAAAGACGAACTGTGCAAGAACTTGCGCTAAGGGTCACACCATTTCCAACGTCTGTTAGGGCCAAAGCACATATGACAGTCGTAGTCGTGGACGTAAGTAACGCACAAGCTTTGGCGTATCCTGATCTGTCAGGTCGGGGACTACGACCGTCGTATATCGCTACGCCATGTTATGTGCTTTGACCCTTAGGGCCGGGGCACAAACATTGCCGTAGCGTCTTACGCCACCTTACGTGAGAATTGTCTTAAGCATCGTCTACAATGGCCGTAAGAGTAGATGTAAGACGTAAGGAGTAAGCTATTGACTAATGGGATTTTTACAATTCAAGAATAATCGACTGTGGTTGGTCAATAGCTTACTCCTTACGTCTTACATCTACTCTTACGGCCATTGTAGACGATGCTTTACGCCACACGTAAGCCAAACGTACGACAACGCACATAGAAAAACGTGACGTAACATATCATACGTTACATGCGTTACGTTACTTTTCTATGTGCGTTGCCGTACGTTGCTAGTACTAATTAATACCCTTTTTTATGCATTTCCACAAGACAGACATTTTCTTCTTTCATTTTTGTCCAAAATTAAATATTCGTCGTTTGAAGTTATGTGTGTCTGATAATTTACTTGTCGTTTCGAATACTCCACTGATACATAAAGGCGACTAAACGTGACGTACGAAAAGATCGTAATAATTATTGAAAATTATTAAAAATAAAAATACATCATAGATTCTGCATTATCCATATCAATCGCTCGCGATCACGTAATTAGACGCGTTCGGGTCAGATGTCGCTACCAGCGAGTGTAAAAACCGAGGAGCCAATACGAAGATTGCGAAGCCTACGAGCGGACGAGGGCACGAGGGGGAAACTACCAAACTACGCCATGTTTGTGTTGCAGCCAGCGTTGTAGGTGGTGTGCGTGGCGCGGGGTGCGCGGATATACGTGTTGCCTACGATTATTTTTCTTCGCGTGCGTTAACCGCGTTTATTTACGTAGCGTCGCGACGCAGTGCGGAGACCCGGATCCGCGACGCCGCCGCCGCCGCCGCCCGCCCGCCGTTCGACGCGACGAGGGGGTTAACAACGCCGGGAAACGCCGCTGCCGCGCGCGTACGCACGCAACCGGGAAGACCGCCGCCGAGATCTCGGACTTCTCGGACGCGCTTCGCCACTCGCGCGGTACTCGCACGTCTAAATGCGACCGCCGTTCCCGCGGAGGTTGTTTACAGGTAGCCCCGCGCCGTCGTAAGGCCGTGACCGTCAGACGGTGGTGTCCGCGTGGCGCGTGGATTTCCCCCAGGGAACTCGACGTCGTCGTCGTCCTCGCCGTCGTCGTCGTTCCCCTCGTCAGCGACTGCAGCGCGACTCGACGCGCCGCGCTATGCCGCGCTAAACGCGTGCACTTGTGCTGTGTTTTATAACCTGACAACACGAGCGGAGTACTTCGTCCTGTACATCTTATTTATCATGCCGTTGCATCTTTGACGAAACATTATCAAGCATTATCAAGCGGTAAGACCCTGGCGCGCGTGTCTCTTTGTCCGGCTGTTCTTTGTCTCGATTTCGTCTCTCGCTCGGTTCCCCGACGCACCGTGACGCGCCGACCATTGTTTAGCTAGATTCTTCATTCACGAGGGACTTGTTGGGACCGAGTGATTGGGAACAAAGCACGTGGATCGTGCGCACGTTGAAACAAAGATCGTTCTTATCTCAAAATATTATTTATCTCGATGCTCCCCTGTATTTTTAATATATTTTGTTCTCTTATGTGATTTATATCCAGATTGTTCCAGAAGCGTTGAGAATGACGAAAGTCTATTGTATGATTGATACAGATATTTACAGCGAGGCGTCTGTTTGCAGGTTCATACTTAATTGAAAGATATCAAAATGTGGCCGACGCAAAGTAATAATAATTCTAGTGCGAACTCTGCGTCAAGCGAGAAGAACAATTTACGCACTCTAGGGATGACATCAGCTATCAGCGTGGCTGAACCCAAGCCCATGGACATTGCCAGAACCAACGAATTGAAGGAGGCCCTGAAACCCTACAATGTTTTCGAATCTGAGGAAGAGTTGAACCATAGAATGGAGATTTTAAGGTATGTCTGACCAAAAGTAATTTATAATTGTTTACATAATATAATTATCGTTAATAATTCGCTGATAATAGTTGCTTTCCATTTACATCAAAAAACTCAAATAATTCTCACTTGTGACGTCATAACTCAGTTAAACGCATGTTCTTTTTGCATGCTGACAAGTGAGATTCAACTGAGTTTTGTCCACTATCGAGACCATATGCTTTAATGAATCTAATAGCTGTAAAAGTATTAAGACGTAAGCAGTAAGCTATTACTAATAGGATTTTTACAATCCAAGAATGATCGACTGTAGTTGGTCAATTTTTACTGCTTACGTCTTAACGCATACTTTTACGGCTATTGTAGAATGGGCTTAATAGACTCACATTAAAAGTGAGGCTGTGGACCTGTATTATTATATGATAGCTTTGTCACCAAAATAAGCAAGTAAATACAAAATAACATAGCTTACCTGAGTATAAAATACTCACATAACTGAATGACTCAGATCACTTGAGTGTAAATGGAAAACCAACTAATAAGGTACTGCTATTTTTATCAACCGTTGAAACCTGCTTATTCTTACAGCAAACTGAACGCACTGGTTAAACAATGGATAAGGGATACGAGTGTAGCTAGAAACATGCCACCTAACGTGGCCGAACAAGTGGGTGGTAAAATATACACGTTCGGTTCATATAGGTTAGGTGTACATCACAAAGGCGCAGACATTGACGCATTGTGCGTTGTACCGCGTCATATATATAGAACGGATTATTTTACGTCCTTTTTCGAATTATTGAAAATGCAGGAAGAAGTCACAGATTTAAGGGTACGTAATTGAAGGATATATAATACATGTAATACCGCACACCTTATTAAATATATTTATTTCTTCAGAAGAAGCTCTTGTATGTGCGGTATAGTATTTGATTATATATTACATTCATCTAAAATGCATTTGGTAGAGGAAAATATTTATGATTATCAAATTTATGAAAAAATCAAGTTTAAATATATTTGTACATATATACAGTAGTCTTTAATACAAATTTAATTCAGATTTGATAACGTTGGCAATACTTAATTACATTGTAGGCAGTGGAGGAAGCCTTTGTACCAGTTATAAAAATGAACTTTGATGGTATAGAAATTGACATGCTGTTTGCAAAGTTAACACTTAAGGAAATTCCAGATTCAATGGTTAGTATTTTATATTTATATAAAAACAAAATGCTCTCTGTGAACTTTACCTTCTGCAATAAATCTTTTTATAAATGTTTGTAGGATCTCAGGGATGACATGTTATTAAAAAATCTTGATCAGAAGTGTGTCAGAAGTCTTAATGGTTGTAGAGTAACGGATGAGATACTGCGTTTAGTACCTAATATAGAAAATTTCAGATTGGCTCTTAGAGCTATAAAATTATGGGCAAAACGTGAGATTATATAATATTTTAATTAATTATTATTTTTTATAATAACTAACGCATGATGTATAAAATTTGTGGTTTTTTTTCTATTTTTAGGACATGGCATATACAGTAACGTCTTAGGTTATCTTGGTGGTGTATCTTGGGCAATGTTAGTCGCTCGGACGTGTCAGCTTTATCCTAATGCCGTGGCTGCAACTCTGATAGAAAAATTTTTCCTTGTATTCTCTCAATGGAAGTGGCCACAGCCAGTACTTTTAAAACAACCTGATAATGTCAATTTAGGTTATCCAGTTTGGGATCCAAGAGTAAGAACTATAGCTTTCATACTTTATATATAATAAATATTTCAAATGATGTGTGGTAGGATAATATTATATAATAAAATTTTGCGTAAAATATATGTATTTTTTAACATCATTTTTAATTTTTTTTAAGGTCAATGTGTCAGATAGATATCATCTGATGCCAATAATTACGCCAGCGTATCCTCAACAAAACTCTACCTTCAACGTGTCCGTATCGACTAGAACCATCATGCAAGAAGCGTTTGAAAACGGACTGGCCATAACTGAGGAAATTATCATGGGTAAAGCAACGTGGGACAAATTGTTCGAGCCGCCAAACTTTTTTGGCAAATACAAGCATTACATCGTATTGTTAGCCAAAAGTGCAAGCGCGGAGGATCAACTTGAGTGGTGCGGCCTTGTCGAGTCAAAAATACGACACTTAATAGGTAACAGATCGAATATGATGATACATTTACAAGGAACATATATTATTTCTCTTTTCATGAAAATGCTTTATTATTACCTGAGTTTACTTAACATCTGTGGGATGTAGATACAAGTTAATGTATTAAAGTATTGTAAAAATTGAAATAGATGTGTTCAAGTAGTGCGCTATGTGAGACAGCAGATTAATATGATATTATTGATGTTTAAAACTTATTAAAATTTGCTCCTTACAAAATAATTAGATTGTAACTATTTAAAATTCTGTGCTTATTATTTCCTTATCTTTTTTATTTTATTTTGTTGTTTATCACGTCGATTAACGTTGCAAAATACGTTGTAAAAATGCTATGAATACGAACCAACAAAAGTATATATTAAAAGCTAGAATAAATTATAATAATTTTTCAGGAAAATGAGCAATTATTAGATTTTATTTTAATCTGTGTCTTGTAATGGTGAAATTGTATATACATATATATTTACTATTTTTATATGTATTACGATACTAATAACTCGCGGATGCCAAATTGGCAAAATCATAACCATTCTCACAGGTATGTTGGAAAGGAATCCTCATATTACTTTGGCACACGTTAATCCGGAGGGGTTTCCACCATTGAATCCCGAATCCGGCAAACAGTGTTCTATGTGGTTCATCGGCCTGGCTTTTGCTAAATGCGAAAAGAACGAAAAAAGCGAGAAGGGCGAGAATATCAACGTTGACCTCACATACGATATCAAATCCTTTGTGGATACAGGTAGATTTGACTATAAATTATACAAATTTAGAATATATAATTACATATGTATTTGTTACAGTTGAGAGGCAAGCAGAACAAATAAATATGTTCAAAGAGGGAATGTGGATTGAAGCTAAACATGTAAAAAGGAAGGACTTGCATACTTATGTATCGCCAAGTTTGCTAAAAAAGGACAGGAAGGTATAGAGAACGTACTCTAAATTGAAATTTATTAACATTGTTAATTTTATATTATTGTACTGCATAATGTTTGCATATACATTGTGTGCAAGAGAACATAACGAAAGAGAACTGTCAAACGTAGCGAATATTTTATACATATAAGTTCTATCTATAATAATCAAACTATATTTCGAGTAATCACAGTTTAAGATATCCAATTGTTTACCACACTTACCACACAATAATTTTTGCAGGTTTCTAGCAGTGTGCATCGGAACGGCAACATTGCTGGAAATGGAAACAGTGGTAGCGTATCACCACGAAGTCAAGGCGATACAAGTGGCAAGAAGAGATTATCAGATCAGTCGCTCGATGCGTGTGGAAAGAAGCGGCGAATCAATGAGGCGGAAGAGCAAGTGAGGAGCATACCTACCTTATATTGCAGTGAAAGAGGAAAAAAAGATGCTTCAAATTTTAGACATAGAGTTAAATACAATAACAAAGCTAAATGTAATAACACTTATATACATAATTTGAATGTGTTTAATAATCCGTTTTATAGACGGAGAATACAACGTTAGTCAACGTTCAATCTTGCGGAGAAGATAGCAATTCTGGTTTCAATGTACATACAGAGGAATACAAACAGAATCTGTCAACTAATAAGGACGTAAGACATTGTATATACATATAATAAATAATTTTTATAACAGGATAAAATAATTGAATATAAAAATGAAACATAGTAAGTGAAAAATTTTTATTTACTATGAAATATATATTTTTTTTTTTATTCCTTTCATCTCGCCAAGTAGAGGTAAAAAAAGATAGACGCATGATAATAGTTTTTGCTTTTTTATTTATCTATCTATTGATACATTTCTTTTTGCTTAATACAGAATTCTAGATGCGTTAGAAATGTAAGCATTATCAGTAGCAGTTGTTACTTTTGCGATTCTGAAAAAAATTTTTCAGATCTGAAAAATAAGGTTAATACGCCACCGCAAATAAATATTAAATAGTTTTTCATTTCATGAAGGAACTCAATCGCAATTGCGAATACATATTCCAAGGAATGGAAATACATTATGATAAACTTGACGTTTTATTGACGACAATTAATAATATGATTCATTCCTCCTTGATGTATATCTGTTATGTAGGAAGGACCTACTAGTGCGACTACAGTAGCGCAAGAAGGATTTGTATGCACCTGATGATCATCGTGGGATTACTATCTCACGTCAATCCACAGATGCTCCTCTGGATCATCTAGACTGTAAACATTTCTCATGCAACCATCCACTGCCCACTGTAAGTCCTTCGTTTCGTAAAAGCAAAACAGCGTCACGCAATGGAGGAAGCTGTTCAGGTGTGGAATCAATCAATTGATGACAATTTATGTGTTTATGTGAGACACTATAATTAATAGTATTATAAAGAAAAACATCGACAGTCAATGGGAACAATTACGCTGGAAGCTTACACGATTGTGCCAGTGTCTGTGATGTCATTTATATCACTGGGGTAATAATTTTGAAACATATAGTTGAAAAGATTTGCCGCCATGAAGGTTGAAAATCTATTTCGCTTGGAAACAGAATAGCAATCATACTTTTTATATTTCCTTTTTGTATATATCATTTACATTACTCTTTTTTTTATCGATAAACACTTGAACAAGAAACTTAAGATTTGATAATACTTGATGTAACATAATTTTACATTTAATTTACATGACGAGCAAGAATAGTTTGATCGAGAAAATTACATGTATGGAAATTTCCGTATTTGCGAGTGTTTCCGCATGTTGGAAAAAAAACACAAAATATAAAATATATTCTTATATAAGGTGCATTTTTGTAATGCACTGCGGAATATACTTTAAAAAATGCATATGCGTACGATTTAGTTGTAAGTAGCTCTGATATACCTTATTATTCATAACAACGCAAATCACGTGCCGTGATCTGCCTGTTTAAGGTTTTGCAAACAGTACTGTACTGTTAGCGTTTTAATACGCTTCACTGTTTGTACTAAGTATGAACTATTATTTACGCGATACTTAATGTTGCTATTATTTACAAGGATTAGGTGTTCCATGCAAGTTGCAGAGTAGAATATTATTTACTCCTGGAGCTTACCATTGTACACATAAAAGAAAGACACTAATGGTTTGCTTCGTCACTTTTCGCTATGCAACTGTAATGCGATCGATAATATAACTGCATTACAAGGATCACCGACACTGGCATAAGTCCTAGGATGTTTCATTTACAAAGTACGTAGATTAGTCACTGTAAGAAGATAAGAAATAGAGACTTGCAAATGAAACATCCCAAATAGGCCATTGACTATCTTATTGACAATTATGTTGCGTGAGATAGTTTCGTACGGAGCCACCTTTTAGTTTTTGCTCAGAAGCAAAGTTATAGCTTTAACGAATTAGAAAACGGGCTGATTGGACACTTGGATGATTGAAATCACCTGTCACCAACTGGTGAGTTTTTTTTTTCAGGTGTTCAACTGCCTCTCACTCCCACTCTCTACGGCTCTGATCCTTGATCCTGATTCCGATTACCTTCTCATCTATTACAGTCCTCAATTCACGTGTTAAAGGCATGTCCACTAATCATATGCTACAAGGTATTTGATGTTCATTCTTTGGTACTTGTAAACGAAAACTTGCGAATACCGCAGTATACGCAAAAATCAGAGTACTTGCAAAGTAATATTTGCCAAGTTAAAAATTTCAGACACAATTCGTACTAGCATTGAGAATTATAAGAAGAAATATCTCTCTTTCCCCGCATAATCGACACCGCTAACAACTCGATTGTTATATTGAAATTTTTATTAATTCAATATATATACAATTTAATAGTAACTGCTAATTAATTTTTAAATATGACATGAAAATCTTGATTATAATACTTTGCAAGTGTCATGATTTAATGTTCAGTGATTAGGAATCATTCCGTTACTTGTATATATTCGTAGATGCGCCTGAGGTGGTAGGTTTCACTCTTTCAATGCTTGTCTTGTCGAGCCAATTTTATTTATTGATCGGGATATATACGTTTTCCTATGTACTAAAAAAACAGTAATATCTTATTTCTTCGCTTTTTCATGGATTCACGCTAATTTCATGCTTGAATCTGAGATTGAGGTATATTACGGTACCGTACAAGGAACACTAGGCCAGTTTATTTGATCGATCATAAAAAAGCTTTCCACACATTATTGACGTTACATGACATAATTAGAAACGCGATTATCTCTCTATGTAAATAACTGATCATGAAGTCTACAGCGAATTCGTTTAGATACATCAATGTGCACAAATGCATCCAATCGAATTTATTTTACTCGTGTATTTTTTTTTATACCGCCGCATGTCACACTCGAATTACTGTGATCGTTATTGCTATTACTAATGTCGTTTATCCACGGTTGAAGCTTCTGTCGCTATTCTCTTGCATGTTTCACCATCACTCGCGGGTTTTCCATCACAGAACAATTATTTCAGCTTTGTGGAATCGAAGTAATGCACGCGCGCGCGTCACCAGACGATTCTTGATCATAAATGTCATAGCATTCGGATCTGTTGCAAAGAAATCTCTTTCATCACATTTAATAGCACATATCGGTTTCCCGTGCTATCGACTCTCATTGCACCAATTCCCGGCCATCCATTACAACACTCATTATCTCGATACATTAAACTTGCTGGGATGTTCCAACTAATTGTCCGTATATTCCTGACGTTAATCACCGCTATCTCTTAAGTTCTAAGGTTCAGGGATTGTACTATACTTTGCACGGCTTAAACGGAGAATTTAGACGTGCGATAAGAACGTGGGCCGTTGTTGTCGAGATCGCTATAAGCAGAAAGATGAGGTACCTGTCGGCGAATGGGGAGGCCGAGGATCGCGAAAACAGTGAACATCAATGTTATCCTTGTACGCCAAATCTTATCTCCTTTATTGATTCGAGGCTGTCATGCGCCCGATTCGTACCTCTTTCTCTCTCTTTCTCTCTCTCTCTCTCCCTCCTCTCTCTTTCTCTCTATCTCGGAGATAGATAGACATGTCTGTAGCACATTTTCTCAATCCCCCCGCATTAGCCTCTCCCTTCTCCTGAAAAACCACCACCGTCGGCCAACGTGGACGTCTTGCAATTTCGATAGTGTGGCAAGGGGGGTAACAGGAAAGGAAACGCTATGTCTCTCACCCGCAATCTTATCTTTTATTATATATAGAAAAAAAGGGAGAGGAAATACGAGACAGAAACGGGGAAATACGCTGAAGGAGAAAAGAAAGGAACGAAGCCAGGCGTTGAGGATTTATGTCGCGGGTAATGCGGAATCGATGCACATGATTTTCTCGCGCGCGGATGCTGTACGGATCGCGCTTAGGATCTCACGTCTTATATCGCGATGGTCGAGAAACTTTTTTTTTTAAATACAGGATATGATGCGTCCGATTACCGAGAAATCGCGCGAAACACCGTACCGAGGACATCTTCATGAATTTATCCGCAAACAGTCGTAGCTCTCGAAAAACTCGTTCGACGAGTTATTGTAAGATAACTTGTATTTGTACGTGCATTGATCGTACGTGCTCGTACGTGATGCACTTCTGCGAGCATAACGAACCGCATATATATCGATACGTCCGCGAGATACGCTTTCTTCATCTCCCTTTTCCCCTCTCGAACGCTGTTTCATTTTCCGAGCATTCTCACTGAAAACACGAAGCAGAATGCGCTTGGCCGCGTGTGCATCGCCCGCATAGATCGCGAATGGCTGCGTGCTCGCGCGCGATAACGATCACCGATCCGTTGCGCATCCACAATCGGCAATAGCACAAACGAAAAAAAAATAGAACGAGGAAGGACATGCATAATTTGTATCCTGTGAACATTGTACACTCTGTATCTCTCCTGAATAAACGAAAATAAATTTTTCTTTCAACTCCTTCAGCCAAAAAAAAAAATGACGGAACGTCGGTCGTGTCAAGGCGGAATGACGTCGGTGAATTGTTTTAAATTACCGCGATCGTCCCGTCTTGCTATGATCGACAGATCTTATTCTTGCAAACATATTCTGTCCCAGATTTTATCATTGTACTCAATATTACAGTCTATGTGCAGTCAATTATGGTACAAGTTAACCCTTGACGTTTCGTTGAAGTTTTATTTCCCGCTTGAATGACAGGCTTGTCTTCCTTATCAATCGTCAACGATTATTGTCAATCGAGTTGGCGTAAGTGTTGCATAATTTACTGCATACCACAGGTAGGTAGGTATTTTCAAGATATAATTAGATTAATTTAAAAAATCGGGCTTTAATTCCATAAGATGTATGTAATACATATACTTGGCGCGCGAGACACTACTCCGTGTCTCTTAATGATAACTATTACAAGTAACGTATTAAAGAGATAGAAAAGTATAAAAATGTGATATTGACACGTCGTATAATAACATTTATATTGATATCGATATCTTTAAAAATAAGCATTTTTATTGTTTGCAAAAACCATAGAAACTTCTTGCGTCTTATCGAATCTAATAATCCATTCCCAATTTGAGATTGATGAACTATATAACGTAATAGTTCTCTGAAGGTACGCCATGGATGCCTTTATGATCTGCAACGGAGCGCAGCTGCATCATACCTCTTAATTCTCCTTGTAGTTTATTTATAGGTAAATTAAATGAACCAGAAACACAAAGCGGTCGCGCTTCAGATAACCATAATTGTCCTATTGGAAACATTCGCGGAGATCGGAATTACCGTGCCGAACGTTTCCAGGGAAAAGATGTAAAACTTTCCGGCCGTTAAGTATAACGGCTTTCGCGATCGAGCAATGCATATCATTAGAAGACGTACTAACTCGATTGGTATTCAGTTTGTAAAAATAATGCGTCTGATCGAGAGCTCTGAAATATGATGTACTAAAATCAACAGTTTTTTGCCAAATTATATAATGTAGTTTGAATCTTTTTTTTTCTCTCATTAATTACGCTCAGAACTGAATAAACTCGAAGTGATTGGCATGTATTGAACCAAATTAAGATGTTACTTTTTTAACATTTCGAAATTACGTTAAGAGAATTAAAATTTGTAATATCTGAGACATTATAAATCTTACCTAAAAATTACGAACTACTAATTACTGAATTAATATAGTCATCGAAACATAGTTGAATACTTTGAAAATAAACTTTATAATTATGGATTTCTATCCACATTTTTGACTCGCATGAGTTCAAATCATTTTTTCGATTTCCATTGGACATTTCTTATCCGATGACATAGAACCAGGATACAGTTGGCCGTACAAATAACACTTCAGACGGACCAGAACACTCCGACATCGCGCCGATCCACAAGAACGTGCTGAGCGGTAATGAAATCAAAATAGAGCATAAGAGTATGTCTCCGATATGTTCATACGAAGCCAGCAGCTCGTACGAAAGAGTACAGTTGCCGGAACCTGTCGAAAGAGCCATAGAATTTTCCGTTATCCGCAGGATAATGTCAAGCCGTAATCCCCGCTGATGGAGATTTTAATGCACAGATTGAGATATTAATAAGGATTAGCGAGCAAATTGTACGAACGAGGTATTACTTCATTCATTTAAGTAACAGCAATTTTGATCGATTTTTTTAGCTAACGATTTAAATGCTAAATTCCTTTAAATAGGTACTATATTTTAAATAAAGATTATTTGAAAGGGCTAAATTACTAATTAAAATCCTAAATGTATAATATATTGACGTTATGTAAAATACTGTAGGCATGAAAAACATTGATATTGCCGATAAATATTGCTAACATTTGTATTGAATCATCCTGTTTTCCTTATCGGAATTTCGATAAAGCTCTCGTTATCAATAACCCTTACTTGCCACACTTCTGTAGACGTCACGTACTTGCCACATTGGGGTGGAATCTACCCCAGCGACCAAAATTGTTATAACAAATAAGCTATTCAATATTTTAACTTGCTAATTTTTTTAGAACTTCTTAAAAGCTTACTTTTAAAAGTTATGTAGGTTATATAGCCAAAAATTAAAATTATGTATGATACAAAAATTAAAATAGTAAAAGAAAAATGAAAAAATGGCTGTTTTTACAAAAAAATTCATTGCTTGAACTATTGACAGATGTCGCTATAGACCCGCTCCTCATAGGTTTCGGTACTTAAAATTAAGGGAATATGGTCGTGGGGTTGATTTGATCCCAGTGTGGCAAATAAGGGTTTTAAGGGCAACAGTTAATTCCGTCGATACGGTAACGCAAAAGTAATCTCAACATCTTGTTGATATTATGTATATTTTTTAGCGAACAGAAATATATAGCTTGTGATCAGAAAACCGTTGTGACTTTCCAGTCAGATTAAATATCGAGAGCAACAGAGGCTTGCTCCGCCTCAACATCTGCTCGTTGTAGAACAATTCCATTCGTAATCACACGATTTTTCATCGATAATTAATAAATGCGTAAAACTATTTTAAGAAGCAAAACTTTAATAAGGAGAAATTGAAGCATATCGAAGCGCGCGAGGACAATTGTTTTGGAATAGAAAAATAGCCGAACTCCTTGCCAGAGGAAACTTTGCACGAGTATGAAATCGATATTATTTTCTTTATCCCTATTAATCCCTAATCTCCATGGTGGTTATCGCGTGAGATATTATGTGAGATAAAATTTCACCAGCTGCAGCAGGGTGAATCACTTGTGTGAATCGTATTTTAGGCACTGTGCGATGTGCTTTGACCGTAAGTAAAATTATTGCGATATTCACCCTCGATGGAGCCTTACTCATAAAAAGTACTAATTGTAAGTTCTCCAGAAAATAGCAACTTTATTTCTAAAAATGTATACGTACCTTTAGGCTTTATATATAGGCTAATGCAATTTAGTATTAATTATTACGTATAATTAAAATCTTTCCATTTCATTTAATCTTCTTTAAAAACTTAAATTTCTTCATTAGAAGAAATTTTTAGCTTATTTTTAGAGCTTGCGGATCTTGTATGATAGAATTACTTTCTTAAACGGTTTAAAATATTTATTCTGTTTTTACAACAATAATATATAAATGTATGTTTATAGCTATATTGATTAAGAAATAATTCTTTGTAAAATTTTACTTTGTGTTATTCTATAATAATGGGATGCAACATTTGTAATAAAAGATTGCAAGAAATTAAGAATTCCGTAGCCTCTGCAGTAAGTCTTATTTACACACGTTACTATGCTTATGGGCAAGGGAGGCTGCTGGTCGGAAGATTAGAAGAACTACATACATAGGAAAGCTTCTCCAGGGTCGACGAAGAGCGCGTGTGCAATACATTGAAGCTTACATCACGAACAAACGGATGCAACTAGTGTCAGTTAGTGTCCTGAGTGCTAGCCAGTTACACACGACGCACGTAAAAATTTGTATGGTGATCCAATATAGTGATTCGAACACAAAAATTATTTATCCTTTGCCTAAATTTTAAGATTATAATTATATTAGAGAAATTAAATTAATTTATTGCATAAAGATAGCAAACATATTTAAAAATTATGAAGTATAAGCATATCGTTATCGTCGGTGCATCACTGATTACAACACTCTGCTTGCTTTCTGGACTAATGTACTACCTCAATCAAGGTATAATTATTAATACCTATAGACAGATTTATTTTCAGCGAATTTCATTCTTAATTTTTATTATTCTAAAGAATTTTCCAACGATTGCGATTTTATTATTTATTTGTGAGGTAGTTTAATAAAAATTAATAACTTTAAAGAGAAAAATAAGGATTGTAAAAATTATAATAATTTATATTATATAATTTTCTAAATTACATAAATATTGTTGGCAGTTCTGATTATAGCAGTTCTAAGAATACGATAGAAATTTCTTATTTTCTTATTTGGAAAAAATACTTATATTTATTTATGTATGGTAAATATTATAAAAGATGAAAGAACCTTCTATCATATAAAATCTTTATTTATTATTTGCAATTGTTATACATAATATCTTCCTTTTTGCGTGGTATAACAGACCATGATTTGAACGTTTCGTTGAATATACAGATTACTTAATAGCTATTTTCTATTCCTTAGCACGTACGCGTCGCTTTAACAAGATAAAAGTGCGTCCTTCGAGCTAGGCGTGAGACTTGAATTATTAGATTGTTTCCACTGAAAATATACGATAGTACGTAAACCATTGCCTGCATACGTGATAAACTGCCATATGATAAACATTTTCTTGGAAGAACGATTCTCACAATAGTCACAATTTTATGAGAGTTTACTAAGAAAATATAATATTGACAAACTCTGGCATATTTTCGTATGTTTCATATTTCAGACAAATGTCCCATCGGTACCTTCCTGTGTCTCAACAGTACCATGTGTATGCCGCAACGTAGCTGGTGCAACGGTGTACCGGATTGTCCGCATAGCGACGATGAATCCACAGAAAATTGCTGTGTGTTCCAAATCTTATTTATATTAATAATTACCACAATTTTTGCCACAAATCCATTTTAATTTCGACTCGAATTTGCTTAGCGGCATTTATGTGTATGTAAGACATCCTATTATAGGATACATATACAGAATTTTGAAAAAGTGTTTAATGGAAAATGGGAAGTGTTTAATGGAAAATAAATTGGCATATATAATCGCTTTTATATCTCGTCAAATTCCAACCAAAGCACCTTAATAATTTCTGTAATTTGAAATAAGAAATTTTAAATCTGTTATTTTGACGGGATTGGTTGTTCTCTTCTTCTTAAACTTCCGATTCGCTAGTACAAACAAATTCTATTATCTCACTATCTTAATCATTCATTACTTCATAAGTATTTTAATAACGACACATATTTTATCTTAGCAGCACTAACTTTCATTTATCGTAACTTTACGTTTGAAGGAGAAAGATTTTATCCTGATTTCTAGATTTCCAAAGATAATTTCGTGTCCCTAATTGATAAATTTGCTGTGCAGTTGACATGCACGGAAACTGGGATTGGTTTATGAAAGAAAGAGATTGGGGAAACTCAGAGAATTGCGGTAATATATCATAAAATACGCGATAAAGACGATATTTGAGATATTTAAAAATTTCTATATTTTTCTCAGATACATTTGACACTCCAGCTGAATGCATTTACCACGCGTGTCGTGCGACTTGTACGAATTATACCGATGTGCCCAAGAACCTGTCACCGAACGTAACAGCAATGTACGCTTCACAGAAAAATGTTATTTTTATGACATCATTTTTATATAAATGTTAAGTTTATTGCTCGACTAACTGGCACTAAGTACAAAGACTGCACAACGTTTCGGCCCACGGTTAGGGCCCTTTTCAAGTGTCCAATAATTTTTATATACATATACAGCAAAACAATGTTGGTGGCTTTAAATCAATTAAGTGTGTTTCTCTGAACACTATTAATTAATAATAACATGGATATATGACTTCTGCAGTTTCCTAACTGACAACTCGCTCACGCACTTATCTCGCAACGCGTTATCGAGATATCCGGAGATACGCTTGTTGTAAGTTGTCCTTACCTCCGAGATGCAGAATATAAAAAACTTAACAAAACTCTGCATAATACCTTACAGTTTTCTATTATTTCAGATATCTCGATAATAACGATATAGTCAAGTTAGAAAAAGAGGTTTTTCACCATCAATCTAAATTGTTTTGGTTGTAAGTAAATTTTACGTTAAATAATTCATAATACTCTGAAAAGTATTTGCATATAACGAAACTCCGTTTATGTGTACAGAATTCTCACAAATAATAGCATCAGCGAGATCCTACCGGGGCATCTAACGGGACTGAATAAATTAGAGACTCTGCTACTGGATCAAAATAAAATTGTGACGGCAGATTTTTCTGACTTGGAAGACAGCACTGCTGCGTACTTGATGTAAAATTATCTCAGTTTGGAGTTAATTTACATTACTCTACTATGTTAAATTATGAAAAATTAATGACGATCTCAATCTGTTAACTTTCCATCCATTTATTGTGACATAAATACTTGCTTTTTGTAATCAACGTTATATATATTTAGCGTTCTTTTTTACTTAAAATGCTATATATATCTACATATATATTATATTTATTTATTTAACATTATTATTTGAAATAGTCTGCTTTACTTACACTAGTATTGTTCATAAATAGAGCTATATGATTCATACAAAATAAAGTTTGAAATCAGTCACTAATTTCCGAGTAATCTAATCCGCGTATGATAAGCATGCTTATTATTTACTCTGTGTATATAATCACGGCGTCAGAGAGTCTACAGCACATCATTACAAAAAATATAGATCCGTTTATAGATTGCTTCCTTAATCCGTGCAGTAATTTCGCGTTTGAATGAAAGGCGAATAATATGCAAATCTTATGCAATCAGATTGAAATAAATTGCAACAAAATTACAGTCAATTGTGGAAATTTATCAGTGTCGCTCCTTTCGAGAAGAATTAATTTTCCACGTGTTATACTTTTTTATTTATAAGAATCGCTGTTAACGATCATCAATGTAGCTGTTAATATAGGATTACATCGTCCATATAATCATTGGATGTTGATAATATACTATATTAACTTGCTCTTTTCTATTTACAAGTAGAAATCTGAGTAAGAACATGTTAACGACGTCCGCGTTGAAGCTACCACGATTGCCAGTGTTGACAGAAATGTAAGCCTATACATGTAATACACGCGTATTTAATGAAAATAGAAAACGTGTACATATTTTGATTCTCCGTTTTAGAATATTGGACGGAAACCACTTCGAGGCGATAACGGAAGATCTATTCGCCGGATGCCCCGCTTTGAAATCACTGTACGTATACGTAAGTAGATTACGGAAGCGATTACTGTCATTGTTAATAAGATTCATGCGAGCTAACGGCTCGACGATGATTCAGGAGTATGGAGGACAATAGCGTAAGCAGCATCGACGAGAACGCGTTTCGGAATTTGCAACAACTTGTTGAGCTGTAAGTGGATAAATGTTAATGTGACTCGGTTTCAAGTTAACGGTACCGGCGTTCGGTTATTGTAACCGCAGGATAAAACACATCACGTAATTCCGATTATCGATTCAATATTACTGTGCCAAGTCGCGCGATCGATTTTCTTTTAAAGTGACGTCCTAAGCGAAATAGGTTTTTTACTCTAATCGCGATACAGACATAATTAAACGCAATGTTTAATTTTTTATCGTCATATCCGTGTTTTCTCGTACAATTATAACTCGCATCTGTTCAAAGTTGAAGTATTAAAGATTTATTACCGTACAACAGACGTTTGACGCAGATACAGTTAGAAGTTGGAAACTGCATTTTATCTCGAACGTTATTAATGGCAAACTCAACTGCATCTAATGGATTGACTATAAATCAGATATCGGCGATCGGACACAATTAAAATACAGCCTTGTTTCAGCAACTTGGCATACAACAGGATAGTCACGATACCGTCAAACGTGTTCCAGCCTGTGAATAATCTGTCGAAGTTGTAAGTATACAAATATCCGTGTTGTAATACCAATCCGCGCGATAATCCTTTAGCCTTACCGCTAAATGTTTGAGCTACGTACGTGCTTGAGCTCTATTCGCTGATACTTAACCGCTAAAGATCTGCTCACGAAAGTGAACTACGCAAACGTCACGTACCCGCGAGCGCAACCGGTTTTAATTTATTAAGTTCGTGTAAACCGGAATCTGTTTGTGAAAATGAGATTCATTACTCCTAGCGAGATGTACGTGATATAGTCTCATTCTTCCAGATTAATCGGTTACAATCCTGTCGTCGAGTTATCAATGACGCTTTTTGATCCATTGAGTAATCTCCGTTCTCTGTAAGTTGCATCGTTTTTTCCTTTAAAAGCTAAGTGAGCAATTTTTCCCACTCAATAATAATGAACATGAGAGATTATTGATTTTGTAAATACGTCTCCTTTATTAATTTATATCAGTATAAATAAGTTAATATAATGCAATAAGTATATAAACCAATTTTTATTATAAAATATTTTATTGTATAAAATATGGAATTTCAGAAGTGTCGAGGACATAAACATGGACAATATGGATAAAAACGCATTCGACGCGTTTCCAAGACTCGACTTTGTGTACGTTTCTTGCGGTTATTTAATTAAATATTAAATAAATAAAAGTATCTTCGCTCGTCTGAAGCAAAAGTTAATCGTATGTTTCGGCCTGTATTACGAGCGGTATTCAGGTGTTAATAAAGAATTTATTTATTTGAATGTAACAATAGTTGCCCTGAAGAAGACCAAGTAGGTCGAAACGTTGACTACGAATTAAAGTGGATTACAAGTTTATGTAAATTCTTTATTAACATCTGAATACAGTTCGTAATACAGGCTGAAACATACGATTAAATATTAAATATTAATAATAAATATATATAAATAAATAAATAATATTATTAAATATAATAATAAATATTGTATACACAATATTTTTTTTAACAAAGACATAATTTTTAAGATTGTTAAAAAGCGAATGATCTTTTTGCAAATTATCTTTTGACACAGAATTCCAAATTTTTCAGATATTTCAAGAAATTTCATTATTGCATGACTTACGCACCGAAGGTGCAAAAATGCAGACCTACTAGCGATGGTAAGGCGTATATCGCGATTAGAGATAGAAGCTGTACTCAAATTGCAGCATTTGATTCAATTCATGATTCAATATTGAATATTTGATTCAATATTGAAACATGATTGATTCAATATTGAATCAAACGTGACAAGATGCGTGTCAAGGAAAATGACTCAATATCTCTCTTTCTTCCTCTTTCCGTCTTTCTCTTTTTCCGAAGGTGTATCATCGATGTCTCATTTGCTGGACAAGCCTCTGTTAAGGACTGCCGTTTGGAGCATATCTTGTGTCACTTGTCTCGGTAATAGCCTCGTTCTGTGGGGAAGATTCACCGCAAAAGATGAGAATCGCGTTTTGAGTATCATTATCAGAAATCTCGCAGGTAATTGCGCAAGCATGCAATTGTTTCCAACGAAAATATTTAAAGCTTCTGTGAGAATAAAGTTTTTCTCACATTTTTCAAAAAGATAACTATACATCCGGAAAATTCAAAGAAATCAAATAGTTTTTAAACGTAACATAAAATATTTATATAAAAATATAAGGATCGGATAAAAATAATTTTCTGATTTTATGGTTCTAAATATTAATCGTCCTTTCGATAATAAACGTATTTGCTTCGAAATCAGTGAAATTTTGAAAAATTTAAAATTTTTAATAGCCGCTTTGCTGCGACTTTAGAATTGCATAGACACGAGATAACGACAGCGAAAATAATCCTTAATTCAAATGATTCGTGGTACGCATCGAATCACGAAGTGCACGCGAGTTATCATAGTTTGCGGTTCACAACAAAGCGCAACACGATGATCGATCGAGCATATTAATGTTAGGCTCACTATAAATCACAAGGCGGTAAAGTCACGTAAACCTCTTTTATAGTGTCCGACATGTTGATGGGAATATACCTCTTCATAATCGCCATAGAAGACGCGAGGTTCCGCGATAACTACAAAGAGGAAGCGAATACGTGGATGTCCTCATGGCCCTGCACACTCCTTGGAGCATTGGCGATGACATCATCCGAGGTATGCACATCAACACTTCAGTGAATCCCACAATTTTCAATTCGCAACATACAATTTAACGGTATTATTTATAATGACCGCTTGCGCTACTGTTGAGCGAAATCTGGGCGCCGTGACAAAATGTCGACATATGTTAGTGATATTATGTAGTGCATTCAACCCTTACGTCATTATTGTAAGGCATTTGCGATTTCTTTGCTCAAATGTAAATATCGATCAAACCGCATATTTTTCTCGAAACGAGTTTAATCGATTTAGATACAGGTAACTGATTTTAATTAACACGCGATTCTAATTTCTCAGAGAATAGCAGTGTTTACATATTACAGTTAAATATATAAATTGAGATTAGAAGACACTTAAAAAAAAATCGGAAATTAAAATAGATGATCGTAAATTGCTCGGCAAGGTTTCCGTGCTCATCCTGTCATTTATGTCCGTGGAGCGATTTATTCTGATCGCAGCACCTTTGAAGTGTCATCGCGCCATGACATCTCAAGCTGCATCCTCATCGATGATCGTCATCTGGATTGTCGGATTTATCATCGCGCTCGTGCCAGGTTTGTTTACGCGATAGAATAATGTTTTTATTTAACTTTTTAATTATTTTTTCTCTAATTTAATATCATTTTTAATTATCATTTTTTATGTAATTATATTTTACACAAAGCAGTAAAATATAAACATCTTTGAATTTATGTTTCAAATATTATAAATATGCTTGAGCCACTAATTACGTCATTTTAATAAACCTGAAGACTTTTTTAAGAGAAAATAATAGAAATTTGCCACATCATAATCGGATTATTCTCTCTGAAACTTTCCCCGAAAGTTATCCATTGGAGAAGCAGCACACGATTCTACGGTGTCAATGGAATGTGCTTTCCTCTACACATTGACGATCCGTATCTGATAGGCTGGGAATACTCAGCCTTTATCTTTCTGGGACTTAATCTCATCGGGTAAATACACTACAAGAACTTCGTAATTGAACCATGGATTGAATTATGTGATATGGAATCAGCTGTCATTTCTCTGTAAGAATGTATTATAATTTACCGACTGTCTCTTTGATTTTTTGATATCACAACAAAATTTCTAAAATTTATTTAAAAAATTGTATCCAAATAGTTTTTGGAGTTGGTTCTACATTGCATAATTACATCTAATCATTAGTATCAGAATTTTCTTCGTAACTATACAATTATGTCAACGGTATAGCGTTCGTTACAAAATTTAATCAACGTATACCACGATCTTAATCAATTCTCATTTCGTGATTGCATTGGAAGAAGGGAGCCTTTTCAAAGCTATCATTGCATTCATTTGCAGATTGATGATTATCGGTTACGTTTACGTTGCCATGTTCACCAGCATCTGGAGAACGCGCCGTGCCACGCCGTTGTCGGTCGGCGATTCCGAGTTCGCCCTCAGGTTCTTCCTAATTGTGTTGACAGACGCGGCATGTTGGGCACCGATTATAGCGTTGAAAATTCTCGCCATGATGAAATATCCCGTGCCACGTAAGCAGAAACGCTGATGCGAGTTTTCGCGTTCCCACCGAATCGCTTTCAATGCTTTCATCGCCTCCGTTACAAACTTTGCTCGATAAATACGCATGCAAATCTTAAACTACATTTTTTTTAGCATACTATACTTTTATCATGCGAAACACGAACAAAAATAAAATATTTACTTTTTTATTTCATTTCGCAAAGAAATTAATATAAAGAATTACAAGTGTTAAAATTAGATAGAACACAGAATATATTATAAAAATAATGTAGATCAATGAAAGATCTATAAAAAATATTAATATAAATTCAGATATTTAGTAGCGCAGTTAAATTTAAAAGATATTAATAAGTGGATAACATTTATAGCCGATTTACACGCCTGGGTAGTGATTTTCATTCTGCCGGTGAATAGCGCGGTCAATCCCTTGTTGTACACTTTTACCACGCCGAAATTTCGCGAAAGGCTCAACGAGGGTTGGCTCGGAAAAGTGCGTAGTTACGTATCGAGGGAACATTCCAGACAAGGTTTGTGTTCCAATATGAGTAATTGCTTGAACTCTCTACTCGTAAAACGTTTATTGCTTTTATTATACAGATTCGCAGGCATCAGCCAGTACCAATAAAACCGTGATTACCGATAGGAACATGATACAACCCACTTGGAACGAATTTGATGACGACAGAAAAAGAACGCCGCCTTTGCTTGATTTGAACGATGAAAACACTCGATCCGAGAGGCGGGACTGAGATTTAGTAATTTTCATTGAGATTTATTAATTACATATATCATGCTTCTGTATTAAATATTACATAAACGGTGCTGATATTCGTGTGCATTGCCGAGCCGATAGGTTGTAATTACCATATAAATGAACTATAAATCTTTATAGCATACATATCTATGGTATAGATAATGGACGACTAGCTTAGAACTAACAGTAGTGAGAAATTTTATTAACTGTGGTGACCATTGAAGAAGAAAATCTTTATGAACGGAAAGATTGTAATGTAATTTAAATTGAACTCAATTTGTATTACGTCACGCCAAAGAAACTTTCAATAATAATGCTACAGAGAATGATTATTTGCTGCTTCACTGATTACCGCGAGAAAGGTGGTTTTATCTACTTTTTTAGAAAATCTGTCTGGTGCTGTTGTTGTTTAAGAATACTGCTCTCGTATCTCCCCTTCGGCTCTGCTAATACTGTTTTGTTACAAGCAACTCAGCAAGAAACTTAGTTTAGATATCGTGCTCCTATCCTCCTTTCCTCAGAGATTAGCCGTAAGAAAGGTACCCAGAATACGCTCTGGTTTCTGAACGTATTGTTTCGCGCATGGGTGATCCCGGCATGCGGATATTTCAATTGTACGAACTCTGATGGCCCCCGACGGAGTATCCACCCACGAGAGTAGAGAGAGGTCGCATCGTGCTCGAAAACGTACATAAATTATTTTCCGACGAAGTCGGAAACGCGAGAACGTGCTCCGAAAAATTTACGACATCGATTCTGATGTACCGGCAAATCATGTTCCATCCGATGTGGCACCGTTATGCCGGGTCAGCGCCACTTGTTCCGTATTATTATTGCGAGATGAGAAATTTATCTTCGAATACACGGGCGTGACTTTTTAACGGCTCCACCGCTGTACGCTCTAAAACGGGCACTACATCACTCTCAAATATACTCGATTAGTCGGCGTAAGACCCATCGGTCGGCGCGGCCATCCCTTGCGATGACTTATGAAGCGATAATAAATGATAAAGACGAAGAAAGCGAGATAAGGAATTACTGACAATTAATTCCCAGCTTTGTGAGGACACGTGTGTTGTTCCTTCGTATCATATATTAAATTATTATTAATATCATTATAGTTATGAAAAGATTCGTGTAGAATATCAGATTGGCAAGTGAACACTCTTCTAATCAAATAACACTCAAACATTATAGAAAATTGCCTTACAAATTAATAACACAATATGGTATATTATTTATTATATAGTGCCCTTCCTATATAAAAAAAAGGCACGTCGCATTAAATAAAAAAGCATCCCGATGCATATAATTAAAAAAAAAAATGCTTTTGTCAAGAGAAAAATGGAAAACGGAAAGTAGAAATAAGGTAGGATATAATTAACATGCTTATCCATAATATCCATACATCCGCTTACGAGTGAACTCCTCAATATAATCCATTAAAACGCGCGTGCGGAGATATAAACAGCGAGAGATGCAACAATATCCGACTTCCAACTTTCGGAGGGTTACAACTCGGCCGTAAATCATGCGAACGGCCAAGAAAAATGCATCTCGCGAGCACTCTACGATCTACCGGCACGTGGGTTGGCTCTTACGCGATATAATGTGTAATTTATGGCGGATGGCCAATGGTAAGGTCCCGTTAAGGGGCCTCGATACTTCGCCCGAGACAGACCGCCTTTTAGGACTGACTTTTCTTCCGCCTTAAGCTGCTAAGATTTCTTCGGCTACAATACAATTACGCCACGACGTGGGCGGATATGCGTTATGCGATCGTCCACGAAATCGTCCCGGAATAAAAAGAAAGCAAACATCTCGCTACAACGATGTAGGTAGGTTGGTAGGCAAACCGGTATGACGCATTGGTATACAAATATACTTGAATTATCGAATCATATGATCTAAACTTCTAAACAAAAGCTGCATGTCATTGTAGATACTTGAAAGCCTTTCTTATCTGAAAAAAAGACGAATGATCTGTAGGTCTCGATTTTATTTTCTTTCAAACTATTACAAGTTTCTTATAAAAAAAAAATCATAAATTATATTCACAAAGTAAATATACATCCATCTCCTTTTAACAAAATACCACAAAAAAGTTTAAAGTTGATTAAATATGTGAAATAATTGATCATTAATTTTATCTGATTAATCGTAGTTTTTATTGATAATATAAATATATTAATAAAGCCGTCTTATGTTTCTCAAAAACAATTAACAAAATTTCTAACATTAATATTTCTAATAATTTTGATATTATAAAACTCGACTTGAAATACATGATAAAGAGAATTTTCCAAGACACGATAACGGCGCCGGGAGGCACCGACCGGAAGGTAGAGAACGTGAAGGAATTTCCAATGAATGTACAATACGTACATATAGTGTCATAGCATGAATTGTTAGCTCTTGGCAATAGACAAGAATATTTTGCACGCACGCACGCACGCACGCGCGCGCGCGCGGGCACATGCACACTGCACCACTACACACACGCTACACAAAGCGAAAGCGAACGAGATCGTAACCTTCCGAAGGCCTTCTCGAGAATCGCTCCGGGTAAGTACCTGTCAGAAGCATAGAATGCAGAAAAAGGTGAAACATCATGCCATCTTTATAAATGATAAACTCAACGTGTTTGACATAGGAATATCAATCTAATGATATTTTTACCTATAAAAATTAAGAAATTCAAATGTAATAAGACATGATTTATTTTTTATTTTATCCATTAAAGGTCTTGGCTCTTCCAAGTCCTGGAAACGTGAATCCTTAAGAAACATTCAATATAAATCTATTTCTGGGTAATTATTCGATCCCATTAATTTCTAAGTGAAATCGATGGACATTGCAACTAAACGTTAATCGAAGACATATGTTTGTTCGTGGGCTCCAACAATGGAAAAGAAAGATCTTGTAAACGTTAATAAAGTCTCGAACAGATCGCTCGCCAATCTACGAAATTGGCCGGCGCGATTCGCAAAGAGTTAAAGACGGCCATCAGACGATCTCCGGCGCGAAATCGATGCGAAAGAGCCGCCCGCGCCACGGATCTTCCTTCCCACAATTATAGGGTATAAAAATTCTTTCGGATTTCAGTCACGCGAGCAAAGGCTGCATTCGGTCCACGGGAAGAAGAAGAAGATTTACGTGCGAGGCGGTAATTGGCGCTGGGTTCGAATTTTTACAACGTGATGGATCTTCGGGCACAGTCTCGCGCGCGATAAGAGAATGTAAGATAGCAACGTGTAAGATATCGGAGAATGTTCGGTCAACGCGCCTGTTGTATTTACGCTCCAATGCGATCATCGGTGACGCTATGCAATAGTGAAAGCCGAATGTAGAACCTTTCTTTCGTCGTAGTCCGTGATTACATTGCGTAATATATTACATGCACGCCCAAGATCGTACGATCATATTTTACAATACGTGTACATTACAATGGAATATATATAAGTCAAACGATCAATATTGATAAGGCCATCAATAACCCGATCAATAATTCGATTGCCATGTATATCATTAGTTTTCCACATTCTCTATTCAATTATACAGACAAATTTCAGGCTTCTATCATCGAAATTCTATTATCGGCGAGATGTATTTTATGCCTGTGCTTTATAAAAAAAAACCAACGCTAAGATAATAGATTACGCGTCTATCCATTCATCTATTCCTCTATCGCGCATTCGAACGTAATATCTATCGATTTCTCAGGGAATATTCTGTCGATTTATAAATACGTGCCGGAAGCGCGTATACTCTAATGAACCCTGGTGATCGTCGACCGACGATGCTCCTGTCGATCATATCCTTGGGTACCGTACAAAGAATCGTTCAAGATCACAGCAATAGTGATGAGACTAACACGTTCACCTATTACATTCTATTACGTGAATTATGTTCATTACACTCGGGGATAGTAGACGGTAGGCGAGATTGACGGGAAATAGATGATAATACTATTACTGATCACCAATATATAATAATCATACGTACGGTAAATGTATAATAATAAGTCGCAGATAATTAGGCCACGATAATATCTTTTAGAAGGGCACAAATCATTATGGACAACAGTAATATCAAATTATTTTACATATCGGCATCGTCATTACATTATATACATCAATTTTCTCGTATTGAGGAAATAATGTTTGAACTCTTGTTAATCGTAGAAATAAAAGGTGAAAGGACAATTAACGCAGCAAAACAGATATACGATACTGCCAAATATACGAAAGAAAGCTGGAAATTCCAGGCGCTTGACACATCGTGTTTACGAAATAAAATCCACTAGAACGGCTCGAGATTTACTCTGGCGTCGGGTGCAAGTGCATGTGTGTAAACAGCGAAAGACGTTGGAAGCAGGAAGACAAAGGAGAAGCGGGAAAGAGAGGCTGTGAAAAAGCACTGCTTGACACGCTCGCGCTCCACCGACATATTAAATAACGCGACAGCTGCGGAATACGCGGCACCGATACCTCGCGCCTGATTACTTCTTTCATATATATTGTTGCCCGCAAATTATTAACCTTACGCAGCCTCCCCGAGGTCCAGGGGATCACTGTGCACTTCCTCCTCTTCTTCTTTCTGAGAAATTTCAGTATTTTTGAACGTCTTAATTTTCTTCTTTTGAATTCCGTAATATAACATAACTGAAAGCACTCTGAAAGTATCAATGGGAACGCTCCTTATAATCAAAATAAAATTGATAGTGTTCGTTTGAATGTCGATGAGTAAATAACAGAGTACAAGCTTGAATTTTGGTCAAGATCTTCCGACAGATCTTCGTCGTAACGATTACCGTACGGCTCTCATTGTTCTTTGTACGCCGTGACAAGATGCAGAACGAATATTATTAAATCACGTCGAGTCCAGAGATGGTCCAGCGCTCTCGCGAGGAGATCGAAAAGCGATGACGCGAGCCACCGGAATGTCCTGCGTATGAGGGACGCATCCGAGTCGAGTGTATCGTGTGGCATCGCGTCACGGTGTCACATTGCCATACCTGTCAATTACAAAACTGTTTCTGCGGTCGGCTGCCCGGCAATGAACAACATGTCGCGACACGGTCATCGACTCGCGTGCTACAAAAATCTCGTGGGTACACACGCACATCCGTGGCCAAACAGCGCGGTATACGAAAACGCACGCGTGTATTACTCAAATTTTTGTTATACATCAAATATAAAATAAGAAATGAAATAATAGCAAAATACGCGTTTTCATCGGCGAATCTATTTTTTTTATCGCAATTTCATAAAATAATTGCGAAAAAGAGTACGATCTCACTTTGCATGATGATATAATTTCGTTTTAAATA